TTTCTCTTGTTAGTTCAATTTAGGGCTGATCCAGGCCAACTAGCTCCACCTAACCCTGCAGACAAAGACTCCAACCCCAAGTTTCCACATTCTGCCTTTTTAGGACAAGGAAAGCTGGAATCTACCAAGGTATCCTAATTTTGTTTTTTCATTCTAGTAAGATTTTTTTTATTTATTTATGCCCAACCAATCTCATTTTAAGGGTTAAATAAGGAAAAATTCTACCAACATGCAAAATAGAAATATTTTGTTGATATTTCTTTTATAATGTGTAAAACTACTTTTACGTATGTCAATTTGTGAACTTTCTTTTAAAGATAGTGATATTTGTTTTTACAGCAGCCTTATTTTATATACAACTTTGTTAAAGGACAAATGTAAGTGGTTTATGGGAACATGAGTTTTAAATTCGATCTCTAAACCCCTTTCTGCCTCTCTATAGCAAACAGAGACTAGGAGAATCACTCACATATCTGCGGAGCAAAAGAGACGTTTCAACATAAAACTGGGGTTTGACACTTTACAAAACCTTGTAACCACACTCAGCTCTCAGCCAAGTATAAAGGTACACCAAACAGATAAAGGTATTAAAAGGTGGAAGCGAATGAAAAATTGTAAATAGTAAAACGGTGTACTTTATGTGTTTTAATCTCACAGATCAGCAAAGCCACGACCTTGCAGAAGACGGCAGAGTATATCAGCAAGATGCAGCAGGAGAGAGCTCAACTGCATGAGGAGGTTCAGCGACTCAGGGAGGAAATACAGCACCTGAACTCTTCCATCAAGTCAGACATTAACTTCAGAGAAATCCACCAGGATTACAAAGTTTCTTTCAAGACTGTACACCACCATGAAGATGCATTTATGTGCTCTGTTGACTGATTATGTCTTTGTTTGTGTTTTGCACAGTGTTTGCCAGCAGCAGCTTCCAGCCACAGGTGTTCCCATCACGCGGCAACGATTTGACTACATGAGGCAAAAGTTCAGAGAGTACGTCCGGGCTCAAACTTTACAAAACTGGAAGTTCTGGATTGTATCCTTATGTGTGTAAAAACCTTCTTTAACTCCCAAACCCTTTGAGTACGGTGTACCATTCCTGACATGATTAGACATAAATAAATAAATAAATAAATTAATTAATAAATAAAATTAAATAAATAAATAAATTACAGATAAATACAATCCACTGGTAACATAATAGGTTGAAATTTAATAATAATAATGGAAACTTTATTGATCTCACACTGTAGAAATTTACCTCAGCATTTAACCCATCCCCTTGGCAAGCAGTGGGCTGCCATTGTGTGGAGCCCGGGGAGCAGTAGACTGCCAGTGTGAGGTTTATGCTACGTTCCCACCGGACGCAGCAGGAGCAGCAAAATTGCGTCTGCTGCTTAATTTTTGCTGCTTGTACCAGTTAGTTCTGACGTGCGGCTAAAGCAGCTTTGCTGGTCTTGCTTCGCAGTTCACCTCGGCGGCTGGTAGGTGTTTTTCATCTAAAGAATCCAAACTGCAGGCATCAGGATAATAAAAGCGAACATATTCTGCCGGCAGATTCTGCATTTTAAGTTCATTTAGGCATCAATAAACTGTTTCAGAGGAGTGATCACAGCGCTCTGTATCATCAGCGATGTGTGTTTCTCACGGCCAGCTCCCTGATCAAGTTTCTTTGATTGGTTGACGCGGCGCATCGAGCAGCAAAAGTTACATTTTTCCATCTCGAGCAGCAGCGCGTTTGCGACGCGTCACGCGCGTCAGATGCTTAAACGCTCCCGACGCGCTGCTTCAGCTGCTCAGACGCGCTGCGCCTGCTGCTCAAAACGCTCAAAATGCAATAAATTACTAAAAATATAAATGTAACTTTTGCTTTTACTTTACCTTGCAAATTTTTAAAGAAGGTGTCATGTTTGGCTTTATGTGCCGCGCCCACATGCAGAAACACACTCGGGAAAACAGGTACAGTCTCAGGGGTTTTATTTACACTTAGTCAAACAGATCACTGAGATTATGTCAACCAAAAACTACAAGAACTGGAGCGCTGCCAGGAAACCGGTCTCGTCTAAGGAGGAAAGAGAAGAGGTTACCGCGGAGAGTCAGGTGGAAAAAACCTACGGAGCTGAGCTTACCACAGAGCGCGGACACCGGACCGGGAGGGAAGCAGTGAGGACTTGGCGCTGTCTGATGGTGATGTGACAGGTGTCAGCGTGACCAGAGAGCGGGGGAATGTGGAGTTGTCCGAGCAGCCTCCGGGGAATCCGGGGATCAGAACCAGCGGGAGGAACCAGGGAGAAACGGGGGGGCCAGGGACCCAGAGACTGGGTGACCAACCTCGATACTCCTGAGAGGACCTGGAAGGATCCGCCACGAGAGGAGACCATGATTCACGAGAGAGAACCTGGGAGACACAAACGCAGGAGTATGAGCCAGAGAAAAGGTAGGTTAGGCGAAAGGCCGTGGCCGATCAGGCATACTGCAGTGGTAACACTCTGGCGTCCTCCCGCTGTCTGTGCGCTGCTCAAATAGTGCAGGGCCGGTGCTGCTGAACCACTTGCAGGTGTGCATGCCCCGCCCACCAGTCAACAACAGACACCTGTGAAGGTAAACAGTAGAGGCCGAGTCCTGACACCACCCCCCCCTCAACGGTCGCCTCCTGGCGAGCACGAGGGACGGAAGGACAGGAAGGAGTCGATCAGGGACTGATCCGGGATGGAGGAGCCAGGAAGTCAGGACCAATCCTCAGGACCGCAACCCACCCAGTCGACGAGGTTCTGAAAAAACCTCTGCCTCGGGGACGGGACGCCACGATCCGTTGGACCTGACGTCCGTGGTGATCCTGGGTTGGCGGAGGGGGTTCAGCCGGAGGGACACGTGGAAGTTGGGATGGAAGACGGAGTGAGATGGAAGACGGAGGCGGACGGTCGAGGGACTAACAATGGAGATGATCTCATAGGGGCCGTTAAAACGGGGAGACAGTTTCCGACAGGTGGCCCGGGAGGGGATGTCTCGGGTGGAGAGCCAGACTCGCTGACCGGGATGGTAACTGGGGGCAGGGCGCCGCCTCCGGTCGGTGAATCGGCGGTTCTGTTCGGCAGTCTGTTTGAGTGCTTGGATGGTTTGGTTCCAGAACTGCCTACAACGAAGGATGTGGTGGTTAACAGTAGGGATGGCGATCTGTCTGTTATCCTCGGGGAGTAGCGGGGGTTGGTAACCAAGGGAGACCTCGAAGGGGGACCTGCCAGTAGCTGTGGAGATGTGACTATTGTGAGCTTACTCCACCGAGGGAAGGTACTTGCTCCAGTCAGAGGGGTTATTGGACGTGAGACAACGGAGGGCCGTCTCCAGCTCCCGGTTCAATCGCTCTGTCTGACCGTTGGTCTGCGGGTGGTAACCGGAGGTAAGGGTGTACCGGGCCCCAAGGGCCCTGGCAAATTCCTTCCAAACCCGCGAGATGAATTGAGGACCACGGTCAGACAGTATGTCCTGCGGGATGCCGTGCAGACGAAAAACATGTTTTACTAGGAGCTGGGCCATCTGGAGGGCTGAGGGGAGTTTTCTAAGGGGGATGAGATGGCAGGCCTTGGAAAAACGGTCTACAACAGTGAGGATGGTGGTCATACCTTGTGAAGGAGGGAGGCCGGTCACAAAATCGAGGGCTATGTCAGACCAAGGGCGCTCGGGAACAGGTAAGGGCTGGAGGAGGCCTACAGGAGGTCTGTTGGAGGACTTGTTCTGGGCACAAAAAGGACAAGATTGGACAAATTGTTTGGTGTCTTGGGAGATGGTGGGCCACCAGAGACGTCGGGAGAGAAACTTGAGGGTTCTAAGGATGCCTGGGTGAGCAGAGAATTTCTCAGAGTGGGCCCACTGGATGACTCGGGAACGTACAGAGGTGGGAACATAGGTGCGTTTAACCGGGCCATTGCCTGGATCTGGGTCAGAACGTTGAGCTTGTGAAATCATGTCCTTTATCTCCCACTGGAGGGCACCGAAAACACAAGAGGGAGGTAGGATGGAACTGGTTCCTTATCAGAGTCGGGGGGAGCATAGAGGCGAGACAGGGCGTCAGGTTTCAGGTTCTTTGAGCCAGGGCGGTAGGAGATTGTTAAGTTGAAGCGGGAGAATAAAAGGGACCAGCAGGCCTGTCTAGGGTTCAAACATTTGGCAGACTGGAGGTAGGCCTGATTCTTGTGGTCGCTCCAAATTAACACGGGCTGCTCGGACCCCTCTAGCCAATGGCGCCACTCTTCCAGGGCGAGCTTAATGGCCAGGAGCTCCCTGTCCCCAACATCATAGTTACGCTCTGCCGGGGTCAGACGCTGAGAGAAAAAGGCGCAGGGATGAAGCTTCTCGTCCAGGTCCGAGCACTGGCACAACACCGCCCCTACCCCAGAGTCAGAAGCGTCAATTTCAACGGTGAATTGTTTTGCAGGGTCAGGGTGAATGAGGATGGGTGCTTGCGAGAATCTTCTCTTAAGATCGGTGAAGGCTCTGTTAGCCTCGGGGTTCCAAACAAAGGGGACCTTGACAGAAGTAAGAGCGCGGAGGGGAGCTGCGATCTGACTGTACCCCCTGATAAAGCGCCGGTTAAAGTTAGCAAAACCAAGAAAACGTTGTAACTCCCTCCTGGTCTCTGGTACAGGCCAGTTGAGCACGGCCTTAATCTTCTCGGGGTCCGATCGGACCTGCCCCCCCTCCAGGATGAGTCAGAGAAAGGTGACAGAGTGCTTGTGAAACTCGCATTTCTCCGCCTTGACAAACAACCTGTTCTCCAGAAGCCGTTGGAGGACTAGGCGAACGTGATGTATATGTTCGGAGAGGGTGCGGGAGTAAATGAGGATGTCATCTATGTACACGAAGACAAAGATGTTGAGAAAGTCACGGAGAACATCATTGACCAGAGCCTGGAAGACAGCAGGAGCGTTGCACAGGCCAAAGGGCATGACCTGATATTCGAAGTGACCAAGGGGTGTCTTGAAGGCCGTCTTCCACTCATCCCCCCGGCGGATCCGCACTAAGTGGTAAGCGCTACGTAAATCTAACTTAGTGAAGATGGTGGCAGACTGGACCGGCTCAAGGGTGGAGGAGAGGAGCGGCAGAGGGTATTTATTCTTTACAGTTATCGTGTGAGGACGAGGGAGGACGAGGGAGCCGTCCTTCTTGGAAACGAAGAAAAACCCCGCACCGAGAGGCGAAGACGACGGGCGGATAAGTCCAGCTGCGAGTGACTCTTTGATATATTTCTCTAACGTCTGACGTTCGGCCCGAGAAATATTATAGAGACGGCTGGTCGGCAGCGGGGCACCCGGCAGAAGTTCGATGGCGCAATCGTATGGGCGATGTGGCGGAAGCGGGCAGGCCAGGGTCTTACTGAAAACCTGCTTGAGGTCATGATACTGCTCAGGCACCAGTTTCAAGTTCTCAGGATCAACCTGAGCACAGGACAGTTAAGGAGGCGGACTAGGCGGTTCAGCAGATTGCAGACATTCAGCATGACATCTGGTTGACCAAGAATTAACCCGTCGGTCGACCCAGTTTATCTGCGGGTTATGCATCTGCAACCACCGGAAACCAAGAACAATCGGAGCATGCTTAATAGGAAAAACTAAAAATGTAACTCGTTCTCTATGGTTACCAGAGACCATGAGTTCAAGAGGCTCAGTACGATAGGTTCTTCTAGGGAGAACCCCACCGTCCAGGGCGGAAACCTGGAAGGGTGTGCACAAAGGCATCGTCTCGAGACGA